TTTGTTCCCATTCAAGTTGACCAAAAAACTGTCTTTGACTTTTATGGTGCAGAATGAAGCCTGTATCAGCTATCTGCATTATGAGTGGCATAATATCAAAGGGGGAAGACAACACATCCTTTGCTCCAAAGATTTTACATTCAAGGACAACAGACAATGCAACACATCCAGCACTTTCCCTGAATATCAAAACAATTTTATAGTAACAAATTAATTCTCACTTCTTTAATACAGTTCTCTTCACTGGTACCTAAAGGGAAAATACCTTATGTCTCAATATATTCACAAATACTGTAATGATAAGAAGGCTGCGGCTGAGGGAACCGCATTTTTTTTCCCTGCAAACTGAAAGTGCGAGTCCTGTGGATTACAGTAGAGGAGAAAGCTGAAGGTTAAAATTAAAATTCTGCATGCTGAGTTGCTTGATCTTGATCTGAATCTTACTGACACAATCAGCAGCAATTGTGGTCTCCAAGGGGGAAATTTTGGAAAGAGGAAGGAAGTAACTCAAGAATCAAAGGCAGAGGGAGGGAGGCAGGACTCCAAAGCCTTTAACGGTAATCTTGTTTAGACTTCATTGCTATTGAAAGGAAGCTGTGTAAACTCCTCCCTTGCTCAAGTTGTGTCCAGATGCACATGCCATTTGCTTGTGGCAGTCTCATTGTGTTGGTTTATATTCATTTTCAAGGCTATTTTGACCAAGAAAGGGGTGTGGGAATCACCAAATATACCCCCACCTCCCATTTCCCCTTTGTAGGGCACAGCAGCCTGCTTGTTAATAAGGAGTCTGGCATGAGTTCCTCCAGCTCTCCATGCTTGTACCGTTCCTTGCAGAAGTAGACCATGCCTTTTACAACTTCCCATCCCTAATCAGAGATCTGAGCAGTCAGCTGTATGGAAACATATCTGCCCACTTCTTCCCGAATAGACCATATGAAAATATTTTAGTCAAAATGTTGGCTATCAAAGAAACAAGGAAGTACAGGAAATGACAGATAAGATCATTTAAAGTTATAGACTAAGAACCCAAGCCATCTAAATTGTTGGTTGTATAATCGCAGCCTTTTCTGTCTTCTCTGTAAACTGAGGTTCTTAATAACATATATAAATGCTCCGAGCAGGAGTCGAGGACAGACTTTTAAAACTTTGTGCAATCACGTGCGAAATTATGCATCTTCCGGCAAATTTGCATCTGCACTTACCATATCTAGAATGAATGGTTTGGCCTGTGTGTCAAATGCTCTGTGAATCTAATAGGATATTATGATTTAGCAAAATTCATTTTTAATTTCATCACCTAACTCACGTAATGACACAACTTTTGACGCTTGCTGCTCTTTAGGGAGCAGGGCCGGTTCTACTGTTGTGCAGCCAAGTGAGAAAACTGCAAAAGTTTAGTTGTGTGTGAAATGTTCCTCCTTAGCACAAAGCATTAGTTTAATAAATGCTAACAGCACGGGAGAAAAGAAGTTATGAGCAACTTTGTTTCATTTCTGAGGGGAAAAGTTTATGTCTAAAATGAATAGAGGAAGCAAATGTATTTTGGAGGGAACTGGGTAAACATGTAACATGTACTTATCCCTGCAATAAACTACAAGCATAAAATTGTCTCCGCCGTGCTACAGGCCACCTGTTTAATAGCTTTTCTCCTGCCCTCTTATTTCCTTAAAGACCTTGCTCTAATAAAGTAGCAAATAGTGCCAAAGATGGATAGATGTATGCCACCATTGGCCCATCATTTCATGAACACAGTTAAAGGAAACCTGCTGAAAAATATTCCATGGCTCATTACACTTGGACCAAAATTAGCTTGTTTTTGCCATCAGGTTAGATAAGAAGTTTCAAGTAGAATACCACTGTCTTTTCAGTTTCTTTATTTTGAGTGCCATTATACAGATGTGCAGTGCTGCTGTAGGCTGAAAGAGATGATCAGAACAGGGCCTGCTCTGCAGTATCCATAACCTGCTCAGTGAATGATTTTGTAAAGGCTACTTAATGATGCCACACAAGTGGGAAGCCATAACTTTGCTGTCAGCCTCGTCCTTACCATGCCCTTTACAACATGCCCTGTTGATTTCTCTGCTGCAAAACCAACCCCAGTTTTAATTCATCACGTCTGCTATAATAGCAGGAGCAACTCTAGGTTAGCACAACATATAGACAAGATGGTAGTTATTGCTTTGGAGCTGTTCAGTGGTTAAAAACAGTGGACAATGCCTTCCATGGACAATGAAAGGCAGACAAAATAGGAAATGACAAAATAAGAAATAACAAAAAAGTCAGCAGTATTATTTTCTATCTCGGAAGAAAGCCCTTTAAAATCCCACATGCAAATAGCATATAGGTACAAGTCTGAGTGATTTCATGTGAATGTAAAGAATTTTGTGCAATGATAAATGTTCTTGGTTACAATATGTAATTTGGCAAGCCAGAGATAATTTAAGTATATAAAGTTATGATGAGGCAGGTCTTCCACCACTAAAATACAGATAAGCCTATGTTGAGACTTTTCAGATATTCAGAGGCAACTGACTGAAGATTTTTTTGTTTTGTTTTGGGAAACCGCAGGCAGTTTTGAGTTACTGGGGAGTAAAAAAAAAAGCCACCAAGACACTTCAAACATAAAGACGATTTATTTTTGCTCACTAGTAACTCAAAAATAGTTACTTGATATGGAAACATGTTCCTAATTTGCACACGCCACATGGCAATTGCAAAGTCAGCACTTTATTACACCGGGGTAAGCAGGAGAAGAGGAAACGTAGAAAATTACTTAGAGAATTCTGCACTTGCTCCTTTGGCATCTGGCATGACAATAACAGATGTTGCATCAGAAACCTATCCCTTTGGTGACCTCAATGCACTGTCCTTGTGTCAAGGACTTTGCTAGGAGCCAAAACAGATTGCTTCTGAAAACCCAGTTGTCAGTTGTTAATAAAATTTAACCACTGTGTTAATTTTGTACCACATTAATCTACCCTCTATTATTTTTAGTAATACAGTTTGAGCTACAGATTATTTGAAAGTCTATAAAAGACCAATATTGATTGTTGGACACATTTTACATCAGTTAATGCATCAGTTTTACATACCATAATTACTATGTGAAAAGACCGTAATCCAAATAAAAATGGATCTTTTTAACGGTAAAATATGTGTATGGATTCAACCATTATAATTCAACTTGGTGATCTGAGAAACAGTTCTTTCTGTCAGAGTGGCAGCAAAATGCTTCAGGTGTATATTTTTTTGCATGTATCTACTTGGTTTAATAAAAGATTTCCCCTCTACCCAGAGTTCTGATTCCTCATGCATCTCTTAGCTTTCAATACCAACTAAAAAGGGAAAACATATCATGTTCAGTATAGTTTCTTGCCATGTACCTCATTATATCAAAGTTTTAATTTTGCATGTGAAACAGCAACAAAGTCTTACACCACAATATCTTTCTGATTACGTTCTCTTCAATATTTTGTTTTTAATATAGAAACCCAGCAAAAACATCCCAATTAAAAAGAGATACTTCTTTAGAAGAAAAAAAAAAAAAAAAAAGGAAATCTGTTGAGAACTGGCTTTATAAAAATCCACACATTTTATATAGCAGTTTGGATATATTTCATGTCTAAATATGTTCACCAGCCAAACTAGCGACAACTAAAAATGATACGTTATTGTGACCGTTCTAAAAAAAAAAAAATCAGAACAAAACTGTAATTTATTATAGTTCTGCCTTCATTATACACCATGTGTTGGTGGATTAAGCACAACAAAACTCTAGTAATCTTTAAAATAGTCTACTAAATATAATAAAAAGAATAAGATAACAATTAACATTTAGTCTGTTACATTTAAAAAACTGGATGTACGTTTTTCTATTGCCCGTTAGCTTTACCTAAGCCTTTTAAACTATTACAAAAAGAAGAAAGGAAAGAAAAGTCATTGTTCAAAAACATTCAAATCAGTTGATACAACATTACAGTACAGTCAACTAACATCATTCAAGATCTAGTCTTTGTTTCTCAGTTAAAGAGTCTTTAGACCAGAGTGTTACAAAACTATTTCAATGCAGTTTCAAAACTGTATGTTAGCTTTTGCAGGATACTGTACTCTCTACTGATGGCTTCAGAAAAAATGGGGTCTTGCTACTTGTGACTCGCAGGGAAACCCCAGCCTGTCATTAATTTTTTTTCAGCACTGTAGTTAGAACAGTATTAACTTTAGCACAGAAACTAAATAAAAAAATAAAAAAAAACTGGAAGCTAGGTGAAGCCGCCATTTGTGTCAAACAATTGCGATACGCTATACTAAAAAATTCTGAAATATCCACCTGTCCTCGCCACTCTGCCACAAACTAGCAAAGTCAGAAATATAAAAGTCTTCAACTTTTCACTTTTGCAGAATAAGCAAAAAAGTCTTTGTGCTCCTTACTACCAGAAGCAAAATATCCTCTGAGTTACCACATGTAATAGCTTCTGGATGTGTCGACTTGAGTTGGCTTGGTTTCTGCAGAGCCATCTTTGTCTTTTTCACTGTCACCTTCCCAGAGATTAATAAGTGGAGGATACAGCTCGTTCAGTGGGATCGAAGATGTCTTTTGCATATACTTTTTCAATGAATGGTGGTAGTTTTTTCTCTTAAATCTTTTAGCAATATAAACAGAGATGGAGGCAAGGCTGATTACGGCAAACATTGATCCCATTACTGCTGCAAGGGCAGTGCTGGTTTCTTGGTCGGAAATGTCAAGCGCAAAAGCTGCGGTTTTTGTCGTAACGTTAACACAAGACTTTTGTGTTTGCTGATGGATGTTTGACACAGTTAGGCACACTTCATAATCTGTGGATGGCTGCAAGTGAGTGAGGTTATATTCGTGCACATCAACTGGGACCCTAGCAGTATACGTAATGTGAGGGTTATCAATCTTCATAGTGGCTGATGACCATTTTAGATTAGAGGTCATGACATTAGAATTAACTTTCCAAGAAACTAAGATTGAATGAGATTCTGCTTGCTTGACATATATTTTCAGAACCTGAGTACCATCCAAAAGCGTTCCATTCACTCGTATAGTAGCTACTCTCGTATCGGCCCCTTCTACGTTCTGAGCCACACACGTATATCTCCCAGAGTCTTCAATCTGAATATTAGAGATTTCCAGGGTACCTTCACTACTTAACTTGTATTTGTCCGAGAGACTTTCAACTGTTATTTTATTTCCCAGTGGAGTTACCCAATAAATTTCCGGTTCTGGTTCTGCCATGGCCCGGCAGTCTAAAAATACTGTCATGCCTATATCCAAATTCAAATGATTTGGAAAAGTCTCATGAGAAATCATTGGAAGACACTGTTCACTTGAATCTTGTATTAACACTTCTTTCACCTGTTGGCCTCTGTATTCGGGTGGCATAGCACAAAACATGGACAGAGGCTCCATGAAACGGATATTGGTTTTATTTGAGTTTATCCAGTGAATGACGCAGTCGCACCTGAGTGGATTACTGTGGATACTGATCTCACGTAGGTTTGGAAGGGATTCCACTGTCTTTTGGTAGACTGCATTCAAGGCATTGTTGTTGAGCATCAGGCTTTCCAGTGCAGGAACGTTACGAAATGCTAAACGATGGATGTAAGACAACTTTGGGTTGTTGGTGGCTTCAAGCTTTGTAAGTTCAGGAAGGTTATCTAGTGCATATCTATCAACAGAAACTAGTTCTCCCATATTATTTATTCCAAGTTCCTTTAATCGGAGCATATTTTTAAAGTCACCTTCCTGTATTTTGTGAATCGGATTTTTGTTAAGATCCAGGAATTTTAAATTTGGTACTTTCTCAAGTGCAAGTTGAGGAACTTTGACCAATTTATTATCATAAAAGGAAAGACTTTCAAGACTATCCAACCCAACTAATGCATTTCCAGGGATATCGGTGAGGTACATGCCTGCCAAAACTAGACTTCTTAAATTTGACAGTGGCTTGAAATTCATGTCTAGTATTCCAATCACTGGATTTTCACCAATCATCAGAATTTCCAAATTAGGAGTAGAATCAAACCAGCGACTATCAATAACCTTTAATTTGTTGGAATTAAGATGCAATCTTAAAAGATTCTTCAGGCCAGAAAATGCATTTGCAGAAATGCTACTAATCTGGTTGTGATTTATATATAGTTCCTGAAGATTACACAGGTCCTGCAAGCAGTAGTCAGTCATCTCTGTTATCTGGTTTTCCTCCAGATGTAATGTAGTGAGTTGAGAGAGATTTGCGAGCCCCACATCTTTAATGCTAGTAAAATTATTCTGTGAAAAATCTAATTCTGTTAAATTGAAAAGCTGTTGGAGTTCATCTGTAGTCTTTGCAATGTTGTTACTTTGCAAGAGGAGAACTTGAGTGTCACTGGAAAGATTGCTGGGGATTTTTGTTAAACGAAGGTCATTGCAATCAACCGTTGTAGCTTCTCTGTAGGTTGACTGTGGTGTAAACCATGGCCTGATTTCGCATACACAAAGCTGCGGACATTCATTATTCTGTATGGAAGACTCCGTTAATGAATTCATCAGCAATTCTAGCACCAACTGGAAAACTGTTAAAACAAATCTAATCCTAGCCATGCTGGTTAGCTGGTAAGGTCAACTGCCAGCCCCTTAAGATAGAAATATAGTGAATATATAATTGGTTATCAAGCAGAAAATATAAAACTTAAACTTCAGCTTGAAATGTTTGGACATCCAAAAGATAGATGTTTTTAAAAGTTTCCTAAAGACAGGAAACGATCGGAAGTCTCTTTACTGTTCCTCTTTGTTCCAGAAGCTTGCACAAAGTTCGGCTGTGAGCAGATCAACCCAAAATCAGTATCTGGACAGGTGCCTGAAAAGCAGAGTAGGACAGATGTTATGTTCATTTCATATATACTTTCTACCTGCCTTTCATTTTTTTCAGCCTCTGGAAAGTAAAGGTACTTAAAAGAACAACCAAATTTTGCTACTTAATGCAAAGTTACTTTGGTACGACAAACCAGATCTATTTTGGAAGCTCTTCTTTATATATCCCTCAATAATAAGAATTATTTTAATATTTCTAGTTAACTGACCATTAAAATATAAGTAGCTACAACACTGTTTGAGGACACTGTTTTCTGCAGTAGGCTTTTTGTGCTATACTTGTAAGTTGGTGTTTAAGCACTTAAATTCTTGCTTTTCTTAAAATGCTGAATATTCTGAAACTCTCTGAAATATGTTTGCAACTGGAAGTAGTTCTGAACTTGATCCTGATTAGATTGAAGAATAATGATTGCAGTTGTGCTCCGCCTTACTACTCGCTATATTATAAGAGGTTCCTTAGAAATTTCAGTCACACACATGAAATCTTCCCAGGTTTGGACGACTGCAATTTTATATGAACCATTTCCATAAAACTGGGCACACCTACATGAAATGCTATGTCAGAAACTCTGTGACGCCACAGCTAGGTCGCTGTAGCAACATGCTCTCTTGCTATAATCGCACTGCTACAGCAACATAATGGCTAAAATAACTTTGCGCCACCGGCACGGTGCAGTATTGGCTGTTACTGCGCCATCGTTCAGTATTTCCAGAAGGAAATACTAATTGACAGCACAGTAATAACGGCACTGTACATGGATCCGCCCACTGGATTTATACCCAATTTAGCTTTAGTGACAAACACTGGGCTGTAAATACTAGAGATAAAAAAAATATCTAGGAATTCAAATCCAGAACAAATTTTGCCCAGTTATATATAAATCATCATCATAACTACATAGCTATAAAGGCTGTGTTATTGGGAGAACTTCTAATTTTGTGTAAGAAATGAAAATAGCCCAGCAATACAAGGTAATTGGGGTATACTTTTGCCACTGTGTATTATACGTGGGTAGTAAGAGAACTGATATGCTATGGAGCTTACAGAGAACTGATATGCTTACTATTTTTAGCCCCCATCCTACCCAGAGAAATTTCTCTTTACTCTGGGATGTCAAAAATCTGAATTGTCAAAACAATGTAGATTGGGCTCTCTTCAAAACCTGGATCTGATATTGTCTTTAACCAGGAACTATTCCCATTAGGGCCATACAGATACATTAGTTGGCTATCGGATCGGCACCAATAAAAGAAGAAATGATGTTATAGGCTATGGGCTTTTTTTGGTCATTGTAGCCAATAGTTATGGCTCCATGCCCGGAGCACCCCGGCCAGTGCAGTCTGGTCCCACGCTCCGCCACTAGCCTGAGCCAGGGGCAGACTACAGGTTGTGGCGGGCAGTGGGAGGGGAAGAGGTCATCGTGCAAGGGACATTCTGCTTTGTCAGGCACTGGGCGCCTTTGCAAAAGCGCTTTCTCCCCAGCGGCCATGGGAGCTCGGCTATGTGGGGCCCACCAGCACTGAGGCAGCAGTACGCTCTGTGGCACCAAATGCACCCAGAGCTGGTGTCCTCACGAGGCTCCACCACACCCACCTGGGATGGCAACACAGGCTGCGTGGAGAGCAAGGCTGTGGGTAGGAGCCACGGGCGAGGGGGCGATGTGCATGGGAATAAGGCAGTTACTGCCTTCCTCATTGAGGGCTGGAGCAGCCGTGTGTGTGTGTGTGTGTGTAAGTGCAAAACAAACAAAGAGGTTTATGTATGGCAGTAGTTTAAAATGCCTGGCACTATTACTAGGTATCAGTTATCGGATTGGCATCGGTTGGTTAATCAATTGGCTATCGGTATCAGCCAAGAAAAGCTTTCAGTGTACCCCTAATTCCTATTAATTACAGGTAGAGCTGTTGCAGGATAAGGCCACGTAAGTGATAAGTTACATTAAATCACCTTCTCAGTTTAGCTGTTTGTCACTCTTTTGCTCATCTCTGCATTTGACTGTTCACAGCACTGATAAATTACAATGAAAAGCTTGCAACATTTAGGTATCAACATAGACAGGAGAGTGCGTGTCTGAATTAATCAAAATACAGTATCTGACAGTAGTGGGAAATTCCATTAAAGTGCTTTTTTGAGTCATTAAATGTTCATTCAAGAAAGATACCGAGCTCTTAACAGAAAATCACCTTTGTTGCCTTTGGCGGAGAGGGGAGAGAGAAATGGTTAGTGTCATATATGCAAACCTAGTGATATATTTTCTCTTCTGTAAACAACACGCATGTTTTCTCTGTGTGCTTGTGTAATCCAGTTTCTGTATTCTTAGGCCGCCCCTACACATGCAGGCAAAGGGGTGATTGGATCCAATGCATGATCCACGCAATTGCGTCTCCTGCCATACCACACCTGCATGGCAGGAGGCGCAATTGTGGGATTGTGTATTAGATCCAGTTGCACCTGATAGATGGTGTAGAGGGAGCCTGGTCCTGGGCTTCCCCTGCATCAGTAAGAAACAGGCTCCCAAGGCTGGGAGCCCTTTTTCTGGTCCAAGCTGTGGAGGCCATATGCAGTTGGGACCGAGAACCCCGTCAGCTGTGATATTTCCCAGCCTCTCCAACTGTTGGGTGCTGCCACAGCCTCCCAGCCATAGGGGTGCAGCTGGGAAACTGCATTGGCTGAAATCTTCCAGGCCCAGGGGTGTGTTGTGCTCCCCAGCACCTGGGAGATAGCAGTAGCTGCGGTCTCCCAGCTGAAGAGTGCCTACACATGCAAATTAAAGCTGGATAGAAACCAGCTATCAAGTTATTACACCTATTTAAGCAATACCTTTATAGCTGGTTAGACCTTTTTAATGCAGGATAGTTAATTTGCATGTGTAAATAGTCTAAATTTGTTGCACAATTAACAAGGTAATTGCGCAACAGATATAAGGTGTAGAAGGGGCCTTATGTACCACTACTAGCCCTGTGATAGGAAGGATATTTTAATGGTTACTTGGATTCTACTGTAAACTCATACTCTACTAAAAGAGCTACGTGGTTAACAAAATTAATTTTGTTCTCACCTTGGCCTATTCTGGCTACTCAGTTTAGAGAGACATAGTATAAAGGTAGCAATGAAGCTACACAGGCATTTTTCATGGGTTCTAGTCAAGGTGGATATTTCAGCTATATCTAGGTTTGTTCCTCACTGAGCATGTTGCTATTGACAAGCCAGGCTGATCCATTCTCTTGGATAGTTAAGCTATGTGTATCAAATTCAATGCAAAGATACTAAAAGCAAACTATGGGACAAAACTGGGTAAGGAAAGCATGATTTGGCCTCTGTAAGCTGACTGGGAGACCCATAGGTTTCTCTTGTGCAGATTTTGACAATATTCACCTGAACTTAGGACAGCTGGGGAAATCATATGTCTGAGTATGTGTGAAGGAGAAAACTCTTACTTAATTGCCTTTATTTACCAAAGCAGATACAAGCCTACTATATCCAAAAAAAGAAAAAAAGAGAAGGAAAATGTAACACTATAGGACTATACTTGTCATTATACAGATTGTAAGTTCTTTGGAAATATCAATTTTATATTTAAAGAGTACATATAAAAATGGGCTTTAGCTGAACTACCAAAGATCCTTATCCTCTCTTAAAAAACACCAAAGAAACTCTCCTCCTTTTTTGGCTTACCTTACTAAAATTATGGAAATCTTCTCCTGTGGTTCCTAACTGGTATCATGAGAGGTCCCTCTTCTAATTTCAGTAAACTTTAACCTCTGTTTTAATGGAAATTGATCATTTGGTCTTAATTACAGAGAGATTCCAATATGTTCCATTTGACTACTCAGGCATCTTTTTAGTGAAGACTTCCAAATTAAATGTTATTTTAAGGTCTAGTATATTCCTATGAATAGTGCATACCACCGTTGAATAGGGGCCAGCCTCCCAAAGCTGTTTATTCCACTCTGAGCTTGTAAGTGGCTCTATAATTCACCACAGTCACCTTCATAGGAAAAACCATACATCCATGCCACATGTTCTAGCATTCCCTCTTTCAAAGCCCCTTCTCTAACTTCTATGACACAGCTAAGGAAGAAGCAGCCAAGATATTTACTGGCAAAAATAGTCATAGAAAGCCGGGGTGTCGATGCTGTTTTTGCTTGTTCAGTTAGGAAACAGAAACACTACCGAGTGTTTCTTCTAAGCTATTATAGTTAAGCTCAAATCACATACCTGATCCTGAGAGTACATCAAAAGACTCTTTCTTAAATAAATATGAATAATGAATCAATACAATGAAATTGTTACCACCTCATGATGCCCAAAACCAGAAAGAGCTTAAATTTAATATTTACACCTATATATTCCCTTTGTTCTAAATTATTGGCTTAACTCCACTCTGGTTGCATGGACGGCAAGTTTTATTGTTTGTTTGTTTTCAAATAAAACTGCACCGGAGTGTTTATGTACACCTGGATTGTGGACGTATTGTGAATTTCTACCTTTTCTTTGTTTAAAACGTATCCTATCAGATGTGCATTACATTTATAATTCATTCTCTGTAAGACTGCGTTTCTAGTTTTATGGAATGGAATCTGAGTTCCTGAACACTGCAGATATATGACTTAAGATGTTAATAGTGACACTTCCTCCCTCTTCTCTAGTTATTTTTAGTGCAGCTAGTTTTAATTTTCTTTGACTAAAAATGTTTTTCAAAAATGACTTGAGGGTTATTGCCTCCAATCTCCTCCAGCCCAAGGCAGCATGGATGACACTGCAAGTAAAAATCCACTGTAATCAAAAAACAAATTGATTGGTTTTGCAAGCCCCAGTCCGTTTTAATGTTTGTGCTCACATGCTAGTCTGTAGGGTGTCACTCACGTAAAATAGTGTAGAAGGAAATGCTGGAGGTTATGACAGTTTAAACTTCTATCACTTGGGCCAGGTCAATATTGCAAGAATCAGAGGGTTTTTTTGTTTGATTTTGTTCTTATAAATAC